GTTCAAGGTGAACAAATGCGAAAGGCCAGTTTATTCAATGAATGTTTCTAGAGCTCCTACTGGGTGCAGAGCTCTTGTGGACGTAAGTGGCAGCATAGGCCTTGAGCAATTCCAGCCCGGCAGTGGAGCCTGGCATGGACTGCCGTATGGGTTCCCAGGTGGGACTTGTCTGACCAACGCTTGTAGGAAGGCTTCCTGGAAGAGAGGCTCTTTGGTCCTGTAGAATGGACAGGATTCACTAGATGGAGTCCACTGTGGTGGTTCTGTGGGGTGGGAAGCATGCCGTAGCTCTGTGGGAGGGTTTCAGGCTCGGAGCAAAGAAATCCCTACCAACAGAATCTGGGGTAAACTCAGTCAGCATGGGGCAGGGACCTCAGTGCGCTCTCAGCCGATCCCTCCTGCTAACTAACATCTCTGAGTGGGGTGGCTTCCTCTGGGGAATTACTGGAATTTCCGGGGCAGAGCTGGAAACCGTAATCAGCATATTGCTGAATACACTTCATGTTTTGTACCTGCCTCTTTCTTCCTGCTCTAGCTGCCTTCTCTTAGAGGTTTCCGGAAAGGCAGGTCAGGTCACTCACCTTCCTTTTCTATAGTAGTAGTAGTAGTGTGTCTGTGTTGGAAAGAAGGGACAAAATGTTTCTTGTTCAGTTCAGTGGCTCCCACACCAGACAGCAACAGAAACACCTGAGGGGCTTGTGAACATGTAGATTTCTAGATCCCTCCCCAGTGTGGAGACAAAGGTTCCCAAAGTCTGCTCTTAAAGAGCAGCCCTGTTGGTTCTGATGAGCCAGCCACGTGTGTTCTCAGAGCCCCTGGCCAGGCTCCCTGGCTGGAGGCACAGCTCTTTTCCACACACCTCTTTCAGGTCCTGGCTGAAGTGTCACTTGAGGAAAGGACTCCTCTTGTGCCTTGCAGCCCCCAGGCACACCCTATGTCAGCCTCAGACATGTGAAGGGGCGACCTTTTGAGTGACAGCCCCCCTTCCCAGCCTGTCACCTCACTGCCCATGCATGCACCCCATCTGCCTATGGCGCTCTGAAGATGCTCCGGAAGAAAGAGCAGCAAACACTGGGCTCCTTTTCCAGTTTTGTCTGTCTCTGTGGCAGTCCGGGCTGCCCAGGACTATGGGAAATGGGCAGGGACTAGGGGAAGGCAGCAGAGGTTCTTGTGTCCCCCAAACCTTGTCTGGCTTGAGGCCACCACAAGCGTGGTCTCAGAGCTGTGGAAAATGCAGGGAGCTGAGGAAAGTGCCAGCCGCAGAACCTGACTTGTTTTCGGTCCTTAGGCCTGACCCTCTCCTCACTGCAGCAGACAGAAACGGACACTGGCAGATCCAGCCAAGTAGCGACGCAGAGAACCTCCTTCCTCTTGCCTTTCCCTGGTGCCTTTGGGGGGCTATTTCTTCTCAAGTGGATGCTGAGTTTCTTGGAACAGGAACCTTGTGTTACTCGTGCTGTTACTTCCCTATGTGGTGCGCAGTGGTGCTCAGTAAATGGGGCACGACTCTGGCTGATGGACGCTTGTGCATTTGGTGGTGGGGTGCCCCTCTGCGTGTCCCCAGGCGTCTCGGTGTCCATCTGGGCTTCCCTCTGTGGCCCTCAGAGTGTTGGCTTCCACATCTGTGAACCCTGGTGTGTGTCTCCTGCTACGTATGTCCACATGTTGGTGGTCGGTTTCTGTGAGTCTTTTTTTCCCCCTCGAGGTCCATTTTCCTTCTGCTGCTAGTCAACCTCATCCACAGGAGAGCAGGGCGCTTGCGGCTTCAGGCCTCAGATGGAACCTTCACCACAGACCCTCCAGCAGGGACACATCTCACGCTCCGTGCCCCTGGCACAGAGGCCCCACACCTGCCGTGCCTGTTGGCCTCCTTGCCTTCCACAGGCTCGGACCCCAGCGGGCACCTCAGGGCACCACTTTGAGTACAGGCCAGGGGGTTGGAGCAGTCTAGGGTCAGGGCTCTGTGGCTGCTCGGTGCGAGTGGGGCCAGAAGGCTGGGCTGAGGAATCCCCTTGAGGTCTCAAGCCCTCCTCAGCTTTATAAGTGAGGGCAGTGAAAGGGCCCTGAGGGGTCTGGGTGCCAGAACCTGACTCCTAAGGAGGAGCGTCTGCCAACAAGGCCACTTTGCAGGAAAGCCCGCTCAGCGAGGGACTGTCCACGCTGAGGCAGCTGCTCACGAGGCCTGGCTTGGCTGGGAGGAACCTCACGAGGTTCCCCAGTGGGAGATCCACAGAGGGCCTCCTGCTTTGCTGGCATTTCATAGCCAGAGGCCCGGCTGGGGGCATGACTGAGGGCCCCAGGGGTGAGGGGATACATGTCAATCAGCGCAGGATGAACGAGGGGCCTTCTCTGAACTGAAGCGGGAACAGGCCACAGTGCCTGCTGAGCAGAGGCTCGTGACTTGGCTGCTCTGCCAGCTGGGAACTGGGGCCGTGGGGCAAGGAGCCGCATCTGAGGAGCAGCGATGAGGGGCCGGGGCCTGGCACTGCTGTGATGAGCACTGAGCTCCTTGCTCCACCAGCAACGATGCTAATGCAAGAGCGGTACGCCGCCTCTGAGCACCAGGGAGCCTTTGCAAGGCGCACGAAAGTTAGTCCTGTGTCTCTAGAAAGCACAGAGTCAGGGAGCCCCCTCCTTTCCCACCAACAGAAGCAAAGCAGGGGGCCCGGCTGCAGGTCCCTTAGGTGCAGCGCCCAGCCATGTACCTCCCCCCCGCTCAGCTGCCCCTGGTGAAGGATGGCAGGAGCGCCTGCCTGGGGTAGCCAAGCCTTTGGCAAGTCAAATGGTTTTCAGTTCATTTCTTTCAGCCACATTTAAAGAGGACTTAATTAAGTGGTGGGCTGACACATAATTTTTGATGATAGATCACTATGCAGTTTTGGGCATATGTCTCAGAAGGAGGTCAGGGACCCTGATATCTACTTATTTATGTGAAAAGGCTTCTCATTCTCAGCACGTAAAGCTATAAAAATGAAAAAGAAAGAAAAGATGCTGAGTCCTGATTTATTCCAGCAATAAATATTCACCCACGGATTCATGAACAATTAAATTCCTATCCATTCCATTAAGATGTGCTTTCGATAGATTTTCCTTTTTAGGTTTAACATTTGCCTTACAAAAACTTTAAGTGTCTGTGTTGTATTAATCAATTCTATCCTATATTTTATATCAAAAATAGTTGTGGTAACTCAATCCAGAAGACTTCTTTTTTTAATCTCTCACAAATTTTAGTCACAGAAAATTAAATATTTCCTATTTCAATTCCCAAATATATTTTGTGGCAGAGAAGTAGAAGAAGGTGATCAAGGAAAGACTTTAACCCATAAAAACACTGCATTAGTATAAAATCCTATGGGGGAAATGGAATGAAGATACAAATTCCAAGAAAGAAGGGACAATGTAAAATTTCCAGCTGTTGAGGAAGAGCTGGTTAGCTTGTTTTTTTCAAACAGAAGAGCCTGGCTATTAAATCACGGCTGTGTTTGGATTCTTAGTGAAGTATTTTAAAGTGTTTTGGCAGTTTTATTTTAAAATGTAAATATTTGCCAAAAGCCAGAAATCACCTCTCGCCAATTTAAAAATCTAAATAATATTAGATGTGAGCTGAAGAATATGCAAGATGGGATAATTATTTAAAAAAATATGTTGGTGGTATTCCTAGAGCAAAAGCTCTTTTGAACCCCGACCTGATGGCTCCTGCCTCCTCCTGTCCACTCCAACCCTCTCCTGGAAACGTCCTGTGGTGTCGTTCATGGATACTGTGGGGTGTGGTCTATACCTGCTTCCGGATTTCAGACACTGGCTTTGGGACAGAGCTGTGGCGTGCTGGGAGAGCTGCCCCTCTCTCCTCTGTGCTGAATTAAACTGCTGTTGGTAGGAGAGGAGGGGTAGAAACTGTCTTGGGGGAATAAGGAAGGGACAGGCTGGCAGACACACAGGTCAGAGAGGAGAATCAGCCCTAGGCCAGGGCCGTGGGCTCTGCAAATGAGAATGGATCCAGCTCCCCATCCTTGGCCACAGCACCCCTTCGTATGCCTGGTTGACTTGACCTGAGGGGAGGCTGTTTCCACAGAGGCATGGTTTATTTCACAGAGAGCCAAGATGTTTCTGAAGGGGAGGCTGAATCGAAGCCCAGTCTAAAGTGGGAGGTGGGAGATTTGTTCCAATCACCAAAGACCTAGTTGGTTTTCTACTCCTTGCCCCCGGCCACCATGCTTCTCCTCGTTTCATCTGCACTATGTATCTGGTTGGCTTAAGAGTGTAGGGTTATCCTAGCTGCACCTTCCTCCTCTAGTGTCCCTCCCCAAGGCCCTGAGTCTGTGGACTAGGTTGAGAAAAGCTTTCCTGGGACAGGAAGCAGTATCTCTTCCAGGACCCAGGGACAGGAGGATGGGTGGGGCCGGGCAGAGAGATGGCCTACTCTGGGGTAGCGTGTAGGTGAGAGCTGCTGGGAGGAAACCAAACTAATTCCTTGCTTCCAGCTGCTGTGCCCTGCCCATTCCACTTCTGGGAGGCAGAAGGCAGGGAGCAGGGAGCAAGGCCAGATGTTACCCTGTTGTTGGTGGGAAAGCCTGCACAGAGGGAGGAGTCCCCGCTCTGCCATGAATGAGCTTGTGACTTGGACAGGCCCTTCATGGTGCTGGGCCTGTTTCCTTGCCTGTGAGTGGGGCTATAGTGAGGATGCCGGGAGAGAGGCTGGTGTGGGCAAATGCCTCAAGACATGTGACCCACTCTTCTGCAGGGATAGGTGTCTGTGACATCCCTCTGCTCCCTCTGCACTGAGACATTGTACCTAGCGGACCTGGCTCCTGAGAGCCTCTCGCGCTGCCTGCTGCTGCACACCCCCCTCTAGCAGGGCTGGCCAGCTGATCTCTCCCCTCCCTTATGCCCCCACCAGGGCCTGAGCTGAGAGATGGCGAAGTGAACCCAGAGAGAGGCACCCCATGGGATAGGGAAGCTGTCCTGATGGTGAATGATGAGCGAGCAGGGTGATGGGGGGCTCACAGGGCGGCCGTCTGCTTGATGCTGTGGAAGCTGATCCGTGTGGGCGATGTGGGGATGGACATGGCCTGGGCCACAGGCACTCGGAGGGAGTGATGGTCCTGCCAGCGGTGCCACCTTTTCCTCACAGCTGAGCGCACCTGCGGGGGAGGCAGCGGCTCAGCAGGGCCTGCAGGCGCCAATCCCAGAACCAGGAGCCTTCTCTCCTGCTCCTACCCCTTGCAGGGCCCTTAAAGGGAGGGAGGCTGGGGTGACTCCCAACCACCACTGTCATACCCTCCCGACCACCACTGTCATACCACTGGCCTGTTCCAAAAGCAGGTCCTTCCCCTGAAGCCGTTAGCCTCTGAAGCTCCTGCCCTCTGTCCTCACCCCTCCTGGAGAAACTTCCCGCTCACCCCTCTTTGGGGTGCACTGCCCTCCCTGCCCCCTCCCTCTCCCATCTCCTCTTTATGGTGGGACCCAAGCCCCAGCTTCGAACATCTGCTTCTGGCTCTCCTGGCGTCTGGAGAGCTGTGCGCTCTCCTCACATACTTGGCATCCTTGTCCCTCCTGAAAGCCCTTCCTCCAGCCTCCTCCCCCAGCAGACAGCCCCTGCCTCACTGGCCATAGGCCATAGTGTGCACTGCTGAGACAGAAAGTCAAGCTAACAGTTCCAGTCATTTCAAAACCTGATCGTGGCCGGTACCGTATTATTCTCATTGGTATTGGAACTAAAGGATTTTTCTGCAAAATGGGTGGTGTCCCCCACATGCTAGCCTAGCACAGGGCTGACCAGAATAAATGCCCCAGAGTCACTGTGCGTTTTCTTTGAAAGCTTTCTCCTGCCCTCCAGCCCAGCCAGTCTCTACTGTTGGCCTTGCCTATGTCAGGGTCTGCTTTGATTGACAGAGACCCAGGCTGGCAGAGAGTGGGCACTCTCTGCAGAGGCAGGGGAAGTGTCTCAGGATGGCACTTACCTTGAGTGTTTGGAAGCTCTCAGGACCTGGGGCTGTGTCTACTTTTGGCCCCATAACCCACTGTGGGTCCTCACCCAGCACAGGCCGGTGTGAGCCTCTGTCACAAGCTGCTTATGCTGAGATTCTGGGCTGTGTGAGCTAAGCAGCCTGTCCCCAGTGCCTAGTTCCCTGGTGTTGGCCCCAAGCTGCGTGATCTGTTCCATGGTGGGGGAATGTGCTGGTGTCTCTCCTGCTCCCTGCGTCCATAAGGGCCTGGATGTGCGGCTCACACCTGACTCACTCCTGCAATGCCTCCCCATTACCAGTGGTGTTCCGGCATCTGTCTCCAGTGAGACCCTGAAGCCAGGGCTCCCCGCTCACCCATCTCTCCAAGTGCCTTTGTGAAGTGCTGGCCTTTGCGAAGGGGACCTTCTAAACTGGCTGGAGACCCTCAGGTAGGATTCCTGTTTCCCAAATCTCGGTGGTTTCTCCAGCCATCCCCTCCCCTGTCCAGGGCAGAGCTGAGCAGAGTCAGGGACCCCGGGCCTCCCTAAAGGCTGGGCGGCTCCCCCGAGCTGGGAACTGAGGACCGTGGCCTCCTACCTCTCCATTGAAGAAGCAGTAGAAGACAGACACAAAGAAACCCTGGAAAGGAAGGAGGGAGGATCAATGACCTGCTTGGGGAGCGACTCTGCAGGGACAGCTGGGAATACCTGGACCCAGAGGCTCCGAGCTCAGGGGCAGCCCGCCCTCATGGTACGGGTGTCCCGGGGCTCACTGCGAGTGACAGGCTGTCAAAAACCCTCAGAACAGGCACTGGGCCACAGGCCAGGGTGATGGAGACCCAGTTGGGTGTGAGCCCACCTGACCCCTGGGGTGGGGCTGCCAGGGCGCAGGGATGGGGTTCTATTTCAGGGTGAACCGTGTCTCCTGTGAGGTCTCTGTGAGGACACCGGTGCCCCATCTGGTCTCATGCCCCACCTGGAACGACTGCAGGAAGGAGTTGAAATAGATGAACACGATCTGCGACAGGTCGTCCTCCCCAGGGTTGACGAAGAAGAGCATGTAGGTGATGCCCAGGAGGGGCAGGAGAACGAGGGTGGCCTTTACTGCCTTCCTAGGGGGGTGACAGGGTGACAAAGCTGGTCTGAGCCCACACTGCCAGCCGGCCCTCTCTCAGGTGCCGAGCAAGCTCCCTGGCTGAGGCCTGTGAGGGTTTGGAGGGCCCGGCCTAGATGCCTCATTTCTGCCCTCAGTGGGTTAAGACACCCGTCATTCACCTGTACTGGATTGTCTCTGATGTCATGGATGCTCGCAATTTTGTCATGAGGATCCTGACGATGTTGAAAAGAAATATAAAATTGATCTGGAGGGGGGGAAGGCAAAAAAGGAAGGACCGTGAGGTAGGGAATGAACTGAGAGGCAGCCACTTCCCCCCATAACCCACTGAGCCCCGTGTCCCACGCACGCATCCATCCCACCCGTCACCCCAGTCCCTGCCTGCGGTCCCAAGGCCTCTGCTTCTCCCTCATCAGGACAGGCAGAATTCCCCCTTCCCGGAGGGCTCCAGGGCTGGCTTCTCCATCTCCAGACCCCAGGGGGAAAAGCGGCTTTGGAGGCAGGGACCAAGGACACCAAAGTCACTTCTCTTGAGGCATAGCTCCTCAGAAAGTCTCCCAACACCTGCCCCACTTGGGGAAGCCACGGGAGCTGGCCAGGCCTCCGCCCCAGTCCCTTGCCCTGCCTGCTAGAGGGTCTCCCCCTCTTGTTGATTGAGGGTTCCCTCTGAGGCCCTGCTTCCCTGGGGGAATGGACCTGGTCAGAGGGAGTGACTAATTCCTCACCATCCCTCCCTTGCCCCCAGGAAAACATTTCCCAGGCACATCTGAGGCAATGAAGATGAATGGGCTGCTGGGCTGGCTCCAGGGCTCCTGGAAGAGCCTCATTTATCTTCATTTCAAGCCTTTTGTTGGTGCCAGAGCCGACGCACCCAGTCTTTTCCCAGGACCTGCCTGGGCCACCCTAACCAGGCTTGTGCTGTGGATGGCCACCGTGGGCCTGCCAGTGTTTATTGTACCCTAGCCTTGTCCAGCCTAGTTTGTTTGTTTCCTTCCTTCCATCCTTCCATCCTTCCTTCCTTCCTTCCTTCTGTGAGCTGACTTGCCATGTCCCTGCTCCTAGAAGTCTTGTGGCCTGGAGGAAGGGGTCAGAAAGGCCTAGAGAAATGGCATTTGAGCTGAGGGCTGATGGACTGTGGGGGATTGGGTTCCAGCAGAGAAAGGCCAGGAGAGAAAGCCCTGGGATAGGGGAGATATGCCAGCTGGCAGCCACTGTGGCTGAGGTGAGCATTGAAATCTTCCTCCTTCTAGAACAGCAGCGGCAGGGCCCTCCCAGCCCAGAATGTTCTTAGGGCAGCCTGCATGTCAGGGGCTCTGGGAATGCCGAGGGGAGAAGGTACTGGGTGAAAGGGTAAGTCAAACCCCCTGGAGAAACTCCCCATGAAGTCTAGCCCTTCTCCCACCCTGTGTTTCCTGGAACTTCAATGCTCACTGGCACATTAATTCCTAATGAGGCTCCGTGGGAGGAGCACCCCAGTCTGGTCAGAGCTCCAGCCTGGGAGGCGGTGGTGCATTGTCAGGCCCAGAATGGAGATCTGGACATTATGGTTGCTGCCAGGACAGACAAGGGAGACTTACTGCTCCCTAATGTGGCCCAGGACACAGATCATTCCAGGTTTTGTTCCAAGCACTCCACAAGCCCAGCCTTATATAGTAGATGTGATCATTATACCCATTTTACAGATGTACAAACTGAGGTTCAGATAGGCTCCATCACTTGCCCGTGCCACAAAGGACACATTGGTGTCAGGATTTGAACCAAGGCAGCCGGCCTCAGCGTCCTCCCCCTGACCTCTGTGTCATGTTCCTGCTCCTGCAGGAGTTAATGAACTCTGGGCCAGATGGAAGCAAGCAGAGGTAAGGTACTGGCCACACTGCCAGGGATGGGAGATTGGAGGTCAGGAGAGCACTGCAAGGCCCATCAGCACAGGAGCCAGACCCGAGGCTCCGGGTGTGAGGAGGACCTGCTGGAGGCGGGGCCCGAGGGCTACCATGGGTCCTCCCAGTGACCCCATGAAGCAGGGACTGGCATCATCATGTTAGAGGTGAGAAACTGAGGCTCTGAGCAAGGAGGTCCTTCATGGTCACAAATCCCGGGAGGCCGCGACCAGGACTTGTCCTAGGATACCCCACAGCATAGCGCCTGCCACAAAGGCAGAGAAAGTAAAGAGACCTATAGCTCATCAGCGCAGAGCATCCTGGGATCCCCTCACCCTCACCCCAGCTACTTCTCCAGATGGTAAGGATGCTCATGGGAGACCCTCCTTGAACTTCACCGTCGCTTGTGCACAGGCAGGGAGGGAGGCGGAAAGCAGACTGACATTTCCACTTCCTGGACTTCAGACATGGTTCTCTGCCTTGGAGATATCCCTTGCTCCCTCCAGTTCTGGGTACTGGAGGTTTATTGGGGTGCTCCCAACGCAGCTCAGGACCCTCCTCTCACTGCTCCCCTGCTCTCAGTTTCCGGACTGCCCATTTGCCAGGGCAGTTAAACATGGCCGGCCTGTCTGTGCCACGCGCATCTGTGGAGCCCAGTGAATTCACCAGATGCCTCCAGAAGCCTGGAGACCTGTCTGTTTCCTGGGCCATGGGGGCCTGGTCCTCACTGGGTGCCTCAGCTTTCTCCTCCTGTTGGTGCACTCTAGGCAGGTGTAGCCTCAAAGGCCCACGCCCAGGGTCCTATCGCACAGGGCCTTGGCTGGCCTACAGAGAAAACCTAGACAACGCCCATCGAGTTCTCCATCTTGAGTGTACACAGCCAAGTCTCCCAGGGCCCTTCGTCTGAATGCAGATCTTGGGCCCACTCCAGACATTCCCAGGGGAAGGCGGGGGACCCTGGAATTTGCATGTGGCACAGGGGCTGCTGGGACATTGCTGGAAGGAGCAGGGAATGAGGAGATTTTACAGACAGACCCAATGCTCCGTGCCCTGGAGGAGCCCAGCCAGGAGTCCCCTGCTGCTGCCGGGGACACTTCTCAGCCTCAGGCTTCCTCTGGTGCCTGGGGAGCTAGCTCAGCCTCACCACAGAAGGACCTGGAAATATGCAGGCTTCATGTCCCCAGGGCCACCTCCACGGACAAGGCAGTAAGTGTGTGAAGTAACCCAGCTTCCTAAGCCTTCAGTGGGGGATCCTTCTGACGCTCTTCCACGTGGTTGTCCCCATGGAAGTTGGCTCATCACCTCACCTTGACTTCCTCCCTGCCTTCTACTCCCACCTGTTGCAGTGCTTTCTGGGACCACCTCCTAAATGAACGCCTGGCACCAAGTTCTTGTCACATGGCTCTAATCCTGGCGCTCGCGTAGTCTTGGGCAAGTAAGTGGCTTCATTAAGCTTCCTGAGCTTCTGTGTCCTCACTGGCTCAAAAGGGACACCAGAGAGCCTGTCTTGGAAGGTCAGCATGGGTTAAAATACTCATGGAGAGCCCTGAGCCCCGTGCCTGGTCCACAGTGGAACCCAGTGTCACACACCTTTCCCACGACAACAGCCTCAAACTGAACCAGCCAGTTCACTTCCCAGAACCCAGAAATAAGCTTGGTCATGTCTTTCAGCAGCAGCAAGGCAGCCATGAACCATCAGGGGAGGGCAGCGCTGGCAAGGTACTGAGCGCATACCCAACCCGGAGGACAGGCAGGGGTGAGTGACCAACCCTTGTGTCTCAGCTCAGCGAGCTATTAGTGGTGACCTTGGGCAGGAGGTTTCATCTCTATGTTTCTCCAGCTGTAAAATGGGAATCATAATTCCCATTTCCAGCCACGGATGATGCAAGATTTGGAAGTTACGAAGATGAAGCTTCTGGACAGGCTTGGGGGGTGCGGGTGGGAAGCTCCATAAGTGCAATAGAGTAAGGGCCCAAAGGGAGATGCAAAGGGCTCTTGGGCCAAGAGGTGGGGGTGGAAGCAGAGAAAGGGTCAGGGAGGAGCAGGCAGGGAGAGGGGGCTAACATGGGGTCCCCCCATGCCCATCTCCCTTTTTCTGTTCATTTTCTCACGCTGCCCAACATCCTTGCAGCTGGGGGGCTCCCTCCTCACTATCACCAAAGCCCGACCCAGGCCAGCCTTCTTGGGGGGGCCCCAGATTCACGAAAAGCCCTATCCCTCCAGGATGGGCTCTGAGCAGCTGGCTGGGAGGGGATGGGTCTCAAGGGGTTTCCGTTCACACTGAGGGTGGGGACGAGTGACTCACTGCAGCTGGGACTCCAAGGACAATCACTCCCTCCCATCCCCAACCCTCTCCTCGCCGACAAGGACTGGCTTCTGCCTCTGAAATAAGGTGGAATTTCTGGTGGTGGAATTTCAGGCAGTGGGTAGAAAACCTCCCTAGTCATCTCCAGGTCATATACAACAAGGGCACTCCAAAGATGGGGGACAAAGGAATCCCTGAAGAGGTCACAAAAAGTAGGAGTTGGGAAATGAAAGAGATAACGGGGACTGTCTCCAGGGTAGACCACAGAACCCCCAGTAGGCACCAGCTCTCTCTCTCTCTCTTTCTCTCTCTCCCCTATGTATCCCACAAGAGGCGGGTGGCCCTTTAAAGAAGCTGGTGCGTACAGGAGCCTGAAATTACCAAGCCTGAAATAAGTCTTACGTAAATGCCAATTTCTTATGGGGCTTTTTTGCATGTCTCTTTTTTAAAATGTATAATATATAATGGGTTCATTTTTGCAGAATACAGCCTCTACTTAAACTCCACCTTAATTAAAGCTCGTTGTGGATTAAAGATGTGGTAGCAATTATACCTTAAATGCGAATACATTTGCCAAAGTGTCGGGAGCTGGACAAGAAACAATTGCTCATTACATTTCATTCTAGTACCACTGATCCAGGCTGGGGGCGGTGGGCTGGGCCCCAGAGGGGGCCGCTGGGGGCAGAAGGGGGTAGGTCTGGGCTGAACAGAAGTCCTCACACCCTTCTCTTGCCATTAATAGCTGCCCCCTCTCCTGGCTGTCTCAGTACCTGGCAAGGGGACATCAGATGTAGGAGGCACTAGAAATCTGCCAGTCAGACCAGTCAGATAGTGGGGTGGGGGGAGGTGGGTGCCAGGAAGTAGGGTGGTGTGTACAGTGGGTGTGCAGGACGGCCACTCCAGGCCACATTCTTCCCCAGCATCTCGGCCGGGTGGGTCCTCTGCTGCCCTCCCAGTGCCCGGCCCCATCCCGGTCCCTATTGAGGACCTACCAGGAGCACAAGGATGATGGGGCCTTGGTAAATATAGTCTACCAGGTCACCGGGCTCCTTGCCAAACCAGCACCTGCAAAGATGGGGAGGCTCTAAGTGGCCTGCTCAGTTCTGGACTGGCCACCACAGTAGATTTGGGCCCAAGGTTCTCTGGCTTGACCCTTCCTGAGACCCAGTCTCTAGGGCTTTGTCTTCCCAAAATGCCTGGGTGGATGGCCCTGGCCCCTCTGACCATCCCGGCTCACCCGTGGGCTGCCTTTTGTCCTCCGTGGAGGGTCTGGTCTCCCCAGCTGGACTGAGGGCAGGCCCTGGGTCTCATCACCCTCCTTCTCACTCCCCTACCCCGTTCCAGACTGTGGATGTGTACCCAGTACTGGGCAGACAGGAGGCTCATGAAGGAAAGCAGAGCTGGGCTCCCCCTTGCTGGCCCAGGGCCCAAGCACCCTGTAGCACCTGTTCCTGTATTCCTTGGAACCTGTCGCTCCACGTGCCAGGCACTGAGCCACACAAAGCAGCAGGTGGAGAGGCAGACGGCTTCTCCAGCCCTGAACCCCGGCCTTTCTCTGAGCTGAGCCTTATTCACTCGGTGAAGGGAGCCTGTCGCTAGCAGAGGCTTGGTTATTCTCGGGGGATGCGGGTGGGTGTAGAAGCTCGGAGTCCAGGGGAGCCATGGGGCCGGGATGCAGTCTGGCTCTGTCAGTCACTCCCACTAGACCTCAGGAAGGGCCACGTGGACTTTGGGAAATTCTGACTGTGTCCTCCCAAACTTTAGAGGTCATTCAGGGCACCCTGCCTTAGGAATCTCCTTGGCGCCTCCCAGCGCTAAGGTTTTGGTCTTTGCTTTAACACCCTTTTTGACAGGAAGCTCACTACCTTCCATGGTGGCCTTCTTATTTTTGGGTAGTTTTAATCATTAGGCACTCTTCCAAAAGCTGAGCTCTTGGAGTCCACTCCGGTTCTGCCCCTGCCCCCAAATCTCCAGCTTCAGAGATCTCTTAGAGATTTGTGTCCGGAGACTGACATTCCCTTGTCCCCCTCTTGTTCCAGCTGGTGACATCCGACTTCCCAGCTTCTGCTTGGCTGACCCACGGCCAGAACTGCCATCATCTGGGTGTGGCTTGTATACCAACAGCTCCAGAGCAGGGAGGGTCGCAGGATGGGACACTGTACTCCAGGCAGGGACAGGGATTCCAGAATAAAACAAGTGCTCCTGCTCTGGCCCAGGGTTCTGTGAAAGGCTCATGGACACCCTTGGATGTGCTCAAGGCTGATGGCCTCTAGCCCGTGGCCTCCTCTATATTTCCTGGGCCAGACATGCTGCTCTGAGGAGGAAGCCTTACTGAAGGCTAAGGGGGTTATGCATTAGGGCCTTTGAAAGACTCATGATTCCTGACTCATGACACCCAGCACACCAGTATCTTGGGGTGCCAGGGATATTTTCTCAATATAGGGACAATGGGAAAGTCAATCTGTCCTGGTAGGGCTTCAACTCCTGCCCCATGACTAGGCTGAAGTCCTGGCTTGACCTTTCCTGATACCCCTCTGACCCCTGCGCTGGCCGGTCCCACTTACTGTTCGTTTTCATAGTAGAGCTTGCCAATGGCCCAGGCAGCAATGATAGGGCAGGGGATACCTGAAAGAAGGACAGACACAGGCTATGGCGGACAGACAGATGGATGAGGGCCCTCTTGTAGAGCACAGGGTGAGGGGACCACAGGAGCCTGGGACCAATCACCCAACTGCAGGCCATCCATGGCACCATCCTGACCCCCCTTCTCCTCTCTCAGCAACCCCCTCTAAGCGGGTCAGACAAATGAAGGGACGGCACAGTTTTCTGAGACCATTTGATAGAGAAGTGGAGCTGGTCAGCTTCTTTCTCGAAGCCAGAGACATAGGTCTTTGGCTTCGTCTTCCCAGGCAAAGAGAGGAGGGGTGTTTGTAAAGTGTTCTGTTGGAGCAACTGTTTGCTTCTTCCCCACCAGCAAGGGAAGGGAGTGGCTGCCTCCCTAGCCTGTCCTGGGGATGGCGGGCAGGGGTGTGCTCCTGTCCTCAGACCCAAGATGAAAGGAGGTGACCTTGTCAGCACTGCCCCCTCCCCACTAGGCCCCGTGACCCCCAGGGACCCTCACACCATCCGATGAAGAGGAAGAGCCACTTGCGCAGGCGCTCGGTGGAGTAGGTCATGACGATGGCCGTGTGCAGGTAGCAGCCCTCGACGAACATCCAGAAGAAGTTGGTCACCACGAAGTAGTTGAAGACGGTGGTGATGCAGCGACACCAGACCTGCACGGGGCAGGTGGTGGTCAGGGGCTGCCTGGGGCCAGGGCCCAGTGCACAGTGCGGGCACCCGTCCAGAGTTACCTCGTGGACATGCATTCTAGACCCTCTAACCTGGCTCTGGGAAGCTTCACGTGCCCCCTAATTCTGTCTCCCTGTTTGGGGTGAAGTTAAGGGGGCAGCTGGCACTGGTCCCTTCTTGGGCTGCTCCCCCCGCACTTTCTGATCTCGTTTTCATAAAGAACGAGGGAGTCTGGCTCTGAGCTTTCTGTAGGCAGAGGCTAGGACTGAACAATACTGCTGTTTCCACGGTCAGTTTTTCGAGAGTCACCTTTGAGCCATAGCAAGGTTTCCATTTAGGGATGAAATAGGAAATCTCACGTAGAAAAAAAGTAGTGAGTCAATTAAAAGAAAGTTGTTGCATAAATAATAGTGCTGGGTTATGAAGGAGAGCTGCAGCCATCGAGGTGATTCTCCAAAATCTCCGGGTTTGGAAGATTCTGGGCGTAGGATGATCACGGCTGGCTCTGGGTGGAGACTCACCATCTCCAGGGCAGGCTGCCGTGCCCCTCTGAGCCTCACTGGGACACGGAGAAACTGCTAATGGCACCTAACAGGGCGGGTCAAGGAGATGCAGGCTGGCTAAGGTGGGCACCAAGAAATGAGGGTTGTTGCCATTTGCCTTTGTCCCTATGCCTTTGAGCAGGGCTACCCACCCTCCCAAGTACCCTGCAGAGGGGAGATGGGGGTGCGGGCAGAGAAAAGCTTGTCCAGGGCCGTAGCCAGCCATGGCCAGCTCCCAGGCCTCCTGATCTAGCCATCTTTCCCCAGGCTTCTTCCCCAGGGCACCCTCAGGCCGAGGTTGAGATCTGGAGAACGGTGGCCAGGAAAGCCCCGAGATGGGAGTTCTCTGCCCTGCAGACACCACACGCCTTCTCTGTCCAGCTCCGAGGGCACCGGCGGTCAGCAGTCCTGGACTGAGCTGTTCTCTGCCTCTGTGTCTTTCCCCCAGGGCCCTAGCCCTGATCTCAGGCCCCACATGGTTGTCTGTCTCCTCTTCTCAAAAAGGTCTGCTGAGGTGGGAAGCTAAAGGTCACCTCCTCCCAACCCTGCTTTTTCTCCAAGTCAAGTGACATCTTATCAGTACAAGTTAGTATGCGGCTATAGGGCCCCCCAGATTGGGTTGAACTCAGTGAGTGCCGAGGCAGAGCTTAATGAGGGACAAGTGAAAGGTCAAACCAGGTGGGGTGCCTGCTCAGGTCCACCGTCCAAAGAAAATGTATTGAGAAGTCTTTAATGGTGTGCCATAGGACTCTGTGCTTGGCCTTGGTTTTTGCAGTGACTTGGACAGAGTACAGCAGCCATTGGCACAACTCCAGCCTGTGTAGCTAACACATGGGATGCCCTGGTCAAGATCCTGCTGGCATCACAGGGTCATGTAACCTCCCTGAGCCTCACTTTCCATGTCTGTATAATGGGGAAAATAACCCCGACAGGTCTCTCATTGCAATCGAGATAAAGTTCAATGGAGCTTAGTTCTAGCTGCTTCTTCTCTAAGGGGTCTTTGGGAGGTCCTAGATTTAGAAGATGGGGAGCGGAAGAGGCTAACCCAGTCTGGTTTGAGGTTTGCACTGCTCCCAAGACCCCGGCCAGGCAGCACCCCCTGCCCCACCGCTAGCCAGCCCTGACTCTGGCCCCAGCTCAGGAGGGACAATGATCAGGGTAGAGGTAAGCTCAGGTGCGGGTCTCCACCTGAGGACTGGGTAAGAGAGATGGGTGCCCCCAGTGCCCGGAGCCCCCCAGCCCCAAGGGTCAGCCCGGTGACCTCATTGCTCTCATGCACTTTGTGGTCAATGAGCTGCAGCAGGAACCACGTGACGTTGCGCAGGATAAAGGTGGTGATCAAATTCCAATGAATCACATTCCGCAGACAGCGGATACTCCTGTGGGAGGTAGGGGGTCAGGCAGGATTCGGAGTGAGATGAGCAGGGCTCTGCCTGGGGTCAGGAAACAACTGGGACTGGCACTCCCCGCCCCCCATCCTCCAGGCCAGGTAAGAGACTCAACCTCCGATGAAGGCAGGGCTGCCCCAGGAGCCACATTCCCCCTGTGGTGGCCGCAGTGGGATCTCTCTGAGCCAGCCTCGGCACCTCCCCCAGACCCCTCTGTCCACTGGGTTCATGGCCCTGCCCCACTCTGCCAAGTGGAGGCGAGACTGTCTGGGAGGGGTGACGGGGGCGCTATGGGGGAAGGGGCAGGGAAAAGCAGCAGGCCATGAGGGGGGTTGGGGAACTCACCGCAGGGCCAGGAAAAGCAGGAAGGCAGCCACAAGGGCAGCCACAGAAACACAGTGACCCAGGTAGTTGACAACGAGGGCGACACGGTAGTGCAGGTCGTACTTCCTCTGCTGGACAGAAAGACACACGGGCAGATGGAGGCATGGGGCACACAGAGGCTGGAGCTGGCCACTCCAGCTACGCCCCCACTGTGTGTCCAGAGCTTGGAGGCAGAAACGGCTTCAAGTGTCATCACCACATCTGGCTCCTAGCGCTCACTCCCGTTGGCCGCGGGTGGCTCTTGGTACAGACAGACAAATGGCTGCAGTCAGACCCCCTGATGTTTCCCAGAATATGCCTGACATGATATCTCGGGATTTTATTATCTTTTTAACTCTGGACTGGGAGTTGCCACAGCTGTGTTTAATCTCAGCTCAGACCCTTGCTGGCTGAGTGACTGAGGGCGAGTGGATTTATATCTCCGCACCTCAGTTTTGACATCTGTATAATGGGGCCATCCTGCCCTCCTGCCTCAGAAGCAGCAGGCTCGGGGAGGTCTGGAGGGTGCCCTGCGATCCGTCTGTCCCTGATGCAGCAACAAGGGGACGCAATGTCCGTAGAGAACTTAAGAACAATATTAACACCAAATAAAAGCCCGTCTCCTTTTTATGATCACTATGTGCTGGCAATTCTAAAAAGAGGCAGGTAAAATACTCCTTCTTTTCAGGGCAGGCTCCCCTGACCCCACGCCCACTATGGTTTGCCACTGCTCAGAGGGGCTGAGAGAGGACAGAGGTCTGGGGGGGAGTCTCCTTCTTTATGACCCATCTCACTTGCCTCTCCCATGGCCCCACCACAGACCCCCTTTGGCTCACATTTTGTAGCATCCCTTTCTCAGGGTAGCTCAACCTTTTCCCTCTGAACCTGGACTTCTTGGGGAAAGTTGCAGACTCACTGGGGGCTATAATGGTGAATGAGGAGGGGGGTGGCCATGGGACGTGTCCTTTTGGGTCAGGAACGAGGTGTAGCTTCAAAGGGGAGGAGGTCGGCACTGCAGCAGCCTGGAGCCCAATTCCAGAGCAAGGGGGCTGCTGAGGTGTGAGCAGGACCCGATCCCCTTGGGGCCCAGCCTTCCGGAGGCAGTGCTTGTTTCCAGATGGAGCCACAGAATCAGAATGCTAGATGGGGAAACTGAGGCCCAGAGGAGGAGGAAGGAAGTCAGTCTGTTAGATGTTTGGGACATGGGTCACAATGTCATTCCCTTCTTATGTCACATGCCAGAGATGGTTGTGTCCTCTGCCAGCCAGAGCTCTCCCAAAGGTGGAGGTCTGTGTCCCCCTTCTCTCCTGTAGCGTCACTGAGCAGGGAACAGGACGTGGACGCAGGGGGAAGAAGCGCAAAAAGATATGGCTGGGCTGCACAAGAGCTGGTTCTGTCACCCTTGGGATGCTCTATGGTCAACCTGAGTCCTGATACCTGTACAGGGATGAGGGGTGTGCAAGGTGGGGGCCACTCACCTTATCATCCAAAATGGGCTCACACTGTGAGTAGTTGATCCGTGAAGCCCACGTCCCATTCTCCAAGCACTCTCGATAGGCATTCCCTACAAAATATGCCAACCACCAAGAGGCAGGTCACTCCCTTCCTCAAGAACACTCCCTGGCTCCCAGGTGCCCACGGGATAAGGTTCATACTTCTCAGCCTCTCTAGGTCAGGAAACACAACACACGTTTAAAAGTTCACAGGAGGGGCGCCTGGGTGGCTCAGTGGGTTAAGCCTCTGCCTTCAGCTCGGGTCATGATCCCAGGCTGTTGGGATCGAGCCCCACATCGGGCTCTCTGCTTGGCGGGGAGCCTGCTTCCCCCCTCTCTCTGCCTGCCTCTCTGCCTACTTGTGATTTCTGTCTCTCAAATAAATAAAATATTTTTTTAAAAAATAAAAGTTCACAGGAAAGTCATTTAGGTGAAAATTGTGTAAAAGGCTTACCATACATGGTAGCTAAAATGCAGAATAAGATCCATTTTTTATATAATCTTTGACTAGCATTTTGTATACCTTATTTAATTTTGTTTGGAATGGAACCTGACTGGGACCCCTGTTGTGCCTGCAGAGTTGCTGCTTTCCACACACCAAATTCCCATTTTCTCCCATTTTATTTATTATTATTATTTTTAAAATATTTTGTTTATTTTATTTGACAGAGAGTGAGACAGCACACGAGCAGGAGGAGCAGCAGAGGGAAAGGGAGAAGCAGGCTCACTGCTGAGCAGGAGCCTGATGCAGGACTTGATCGCAGCACCCTGGGATCATGACCCAAGGCGAAGGCAGCTGCCTAACTGACTAAACCGCCCAGGTGCCTGTCTTCTCTCACTTTATACGCAGGCGATCCGTACTAATTCCCAGCAGCAGTTCTGTTTAACACCAGCTACCCTTCACAGAGTGGCCGCTCACCAGACCGATCTTGATACGCTCATCCCTTCAATCCTCCCAGCAACCCCATGAGTAATGGTAACCCATTTTACAGAAGGGGAAACTAAGGCACAAAAAGATTAACCTACTTGTCAAAAGCTGTAGAAATGAGAAGGGGTAGAGCCAGGATTCAAATCCAGAAGGTCTGGCTTCAGGTTGCACGTTCTAAACCCCTTGCTACCAAGCAGTGGGACACAGGAACGAGGGACACCTGGGGAAGCGGGACTGTGTTGCTGACCTTGAGCTGTGGCTGCCTGTGAGAGCACTGTGTGAGATCTCTTGGTGTCTGACAGGAGTCTGCCCAGACTCTTCAGAGCACCAGTGTCTGATGGCCACAAGTGCAGGCTCCATCCTGGGGGAACGCAGGAAGATCAGAGAATGCTCATCTTTCCTGATCATCTTTCATCTTTCTTAAAAACTGAGCTTGACTGTAAGTCCTAGCCCCCAAGCCACCACCTCCAGGTAGCCCACACTCAACCTCCAGCCAGGACGAACCTCCCACCTGAGAACGCCAGAGCCCTTTGCCAGCCTCTGCTTTGCCCCATGAATGTGAAAGTGATCTCCCCTACTTCCTTACAAATTCTGAGTGATCTGTGGTTTGGGGGTGACTTATGCTGGCTTTTTCAGCTCTCTGGCTAATGGGCAGTTATGTGTTGATTTTTCTTTTGGGTTGCTGTCAGATATATACTACAAAGCTAATTAAAATAAGTAGCTCCCAGAGCAGAGAGTCATAGAGCTGGAGGGGGAAACAGATTGCTTCTGGAAACAATGAGTTCTGAAATAATTAAGTTACTTAAAAAAACCACTTCTGTTGAGCTGATAGTGAGTTCAAAGCAGTGGGATTCAGGGAGCACTTGTTGAGGAGCAGAAACAATGGGGGAGAGTCTATTAGCTTAATTGTTTTTTAATTTGGTGCTCTGAGCTCAGAGAGTCTTCAGGCTCAGGGTTGTTACTGGCCTAAGGTTGCCGCCCTGGTCCTGGTGGGAGTCGAGATGATCTTGACCCCAAAGTGAGGACACCAGCCCCTTACCCCTAAACGTGGCACCCACATCCACTCTTGGGTTTTCTCCTTCCTCAGGGCTGTTTTACTACAGAAAGAGAAATTTCTACAGTTAAGAGAACCCGATGCATAGAGTTAGTGATGTTACTGAACTGAAGGTCAGAGTGCGGGGTGAGTCAAGTAGACCGATGTAAAGGTATCTGGGGGAGGGCTGGTCCTTTTATAAAGTGAATAATCCTTTACAGATAAAGGTTTAGGGTCTTTCTCAACCAGCTTGTCTGAGGTGAGACAGGTCCTGACCCTGGCTCTGGTTCAAAGGTCAGAACATTTATCTTCTAAGGATGTGTTCATAGATGTTATCCAGCTTTCCTGGAGTTCAGTGCTAAGCCCTTTCCTCCAGGAAGGCCTCTTTGATTGCTCCCATCTCACAGATTTCTCTCTTCTGAGTCCCCGACTCCACCCCACCCAAGAGTCCCATGAGCCTGAGCCTCACACTTCATCCCTTGCTCATACCCTGGCCTGAGCTGTTTTGGAGTGTGAGTCTGGTCTGCATGATCGTTGTGGGGCTAACCAAAGACAGGAACTCAGAATACTTTCCCAAGTGTGATATCTCATGATGGTAATAAGCATGGGGTAGGCCTGAGGAGGGAGGGAGTCATGGTAGAGATGCTGCAAATCTGAGACCTTCCTGGTCCCTTACGTCAATGCCTACCAGGGGTGCCAAATTTTATGACTTCTCTATCCTGGCTTTCTTTTCTGGAAGCCACCCCCCTCTGCCACCACTCCACATGGCACTTGGCATTTGCCTTGGTGGGCCTGGCATGTAGCTGGCTCTGTGCCGAACCCCCCCACCCTGAAACACCCTCCTCACTCTCACTGACAAACCCCTTCCTATCTTCTAAACCATAGGTCAAGCGCCTTCTCCTCCCACAGGCTTCCCCAGCAGCCCAGGCATTCAAGCCATCTCTTTTTTTCCTTTAAATGCCTCCTCTAGGCCTTGCCATCTCTCGAAACATGGGCCTTCACATTCCACTGTCCTTGAGCCCCACCAACACATCCAGCCCATCCACACCCCCACCTCCAGCCCACACACGCCCTACATTAGTGAGGCCAGTTTCACAAAGCAAAATTCATCTTGACCACAGCTATGATATTCTTCCTCCTCTTCTATTCTAATGAATTCTATTTATTTTCTATACAAATGCTGGTCATGACTCACGAATTTGACTTCACCATCCACTATGGTGCTCTGACCCGTAGTTTGAAAATCAAACATCAAGTTTAGAGCATTTGCCATAATTCACTAAGGGTTTCACCTTTTTGGACCTGATCCTTTTTTTTTTCTTTGCTTACTGAACTTAAGCTCCCTGGGGACAGACAGGTAGGCAGAGACCATATGGGGGTCCCCGGGTCTCCCGCAGGAATTAGCCATGAAGTACATATTGGATGCAACAAACAAACTCAGATCTGCCAACACCTTGGAAAGCAGGGTCTGAGCTGTGGGATGTGGTGGTGGAAGGGGGCTCCCCTCTGGGAGCTCGGTCGTGCCTGGAGATGAGGTTCTGGCTGCAGACTCCAGGTACCAGAGGCCTGGAAGACAGATGTGCCCAGCTCTTCGGGGGAGCTTGCTAATGAGGACACTGTGCCCTCAAGCACAGCTTTGGACAGGAGAGAGTAAGACAGAGTAAGACAGAAGAGTCCCGCCCGCCCCCCCCCCCACAAACTGGAAACCATGGGAGGATGGGCACGCAAAATCTGAGGGCAGGCGGCCGGACCAGAATCTCAGAACTGGATGCGACGAGGTCCGTGCCTTTTGCCCCAGCAACCCAAGTGCCCCTGCCAAAGATCGATGCCGGTGGTGTGTGGTGTGGCCTGCCAGGGGCATTAGGGTCTGAGGGATGCAAGCAGGGTCCTCTCGTGCAGGGCTCTGTGGCCTGGGAATGCTGCTCCCTATTTCCCGCAGTGTGCCAGGCCTCTTCCCCCTAAGTGCCCCTGTCCTGTCAAAAGCCCCAATTACCATGGCCTGTCCCTCTTTCAGATGCCAACCCCTTTCTGATGAGAGCTCCTGGTTCAGGGAGTCATCTAAGCGGTTCGGAAGCCTGGCTGTGAGAAGAGGGGGGTTGCTCTTCTAGCTGTGGTTTTGTCTCTGGCTGGCAGGCTAAGTGACCTTAGCTAAGTCCCTGCCCTCTTGGCCTCAGTTTCTCCTCTCAGTTAAAGTGATGTACATCCAGGCTCCCTGCTCAGTGGGAAGCCTGCTTCTCCCTTTCCCACCCCCCTGCTTGTGTTCCCTCTCTCGCTGTGTCTCTCTCTGTCAAATAAATAAATAAATCTTAAAAAAAAATAAAGTGATGTACATCATTTCTCAAAGATGTTATTGGCATCTCAGGTAGATCGGTTATCTGTTGTGTAGGACTTTCAACCTGATGAACCCAGTACTACCCTCAAGCTATGTGACAACTCCAACCGTCCCTGTATACTTTCAGATGCTCCCTACGTGGGCACTTCTATGTCTGACAGTCTAACTGACAAGACATGGGAGACAGAGACCATGAGGGACCGTTTTTGGGTGACGGTTATGGGGGAAAGATTTTAAGGGACAGGTGGGGCACAGGGAGTGAGTGGGACTGGTGGAGGGGGATGGATATCTGGGGAAAATGGACAAGAAGTTAGGTCAAGTAATGCTGGCAGGGAGGTGGAAAGGGCCAGAAGCACTATTCACTGAAGGAATGAGGTCACTGTGCATGACAGGAATTTTCAGCACTGTGGACAGCGGAATGATACGCCTCCCCACCAAAGCATATGGATGGCCTTGGAGAGCTCCTGAAACACAGCCCTTGGGTCTGCATTCATCACACTGATTTGTGAGGCTCTTCAGGCCCAGCTTCAGCCCCAGCTTCTTCATGGCTGTTCCAGCTCCCTGAGGGTTCCACTGCTCCCTGGTGGGCTAGGACTGCTCTTTCCCAGCTAGCTCAGGGGGGTAGGGGTGGGGAAGGCTTAGGCTGCCCTCTCCTCTGGCTCTTCCCTAAGAACTACCCAGACTGAGTACACAGGGGCTCAGGATGGACTGAGGTGGTGCTGTTATCTATGTGACTAACTCTGAATGAGGATGAGAGTCTCAGAGCAGGCCGAGAAGA